AAAACGGTCCGACTTTAGAAATAATTATGCATAAAATGGACTCAGGACAAGGTGCGTTCCTCTAAGTTTTCATACCAAAATGACCAAGTTGCGAAAACAAGGTCAAACAACTTCTATATGATTTCTTTTGTTCATAATTTTATAAATTTTACTGCTACTTACTAGTCGTTAGGCTAAAGTGCACATCGTTTCCTTTCGATTTTTATGCTAGTTGCTGCCATTTGAGATTAAAGCTTCAGAATATGACCTAGAATTCTTTTTTTTATCCATGTCTGGATTAATTTTTAATCAATATCTGTTTCAATATAACTTTTTCACTCAGCCTTCTTTATAATCACATAGACCCTATATAAAACTTTAGTACTATGCTTCATAATTGAAAGTAATTTACTTGCTTTCTAATGGGGGTGATGTTTGGTCATACCAATATTATTTATAATATTTATGGAATAGTGAGACGTTCGAGTTTTTTTATTTATATCTTCACGATAACCTTTTTATCTTGCCTTTTAATTACTTACTAGACATATCGACTTGCCCACTCTGTCGACGATGCATTATGTTCTGCCAACACTTCGTCAACTCCAAGCTGAACAAGTCGCTTTTTCGTCATCTCTCTGGCTCAACCCCTCTAAATGTCTCTGATCTCCTTGCCTTTCTTGTGCGATATTCCAGCTTGAATTCAGCTGAATCTGAGGTTAATATGATTCATATGTCACTTCCACAGTCTCCAATATCCTCAACCAGCAAGTCTCAGCATTGCAGAGCCAACTTTTCACCTGATCTTATCACAGGTTCTTCACAGCTCGATAATGAGCGGCCTCCTCGCACTGTGCCGCATACTCTTTCCTGCAGCTGCTCTAATCGACTCACTTCTTCATCAGTCTCTAATTATCCCTCAGAGACGTTCCAGCGGAATATTTTTTCTGGTTCAGGTGACGCAGTTGAGCGGCAGCCGGAAGAATTGACTGGGGCTTCAGAGACGAGAGGCCGGCGACGAGATACTGGTTGGCCAGCTGGGCCGGGTGGTGGCAAAACTGGTGCGGAATTTCCATGCCCAGGACGAGTTGTTCTATGTTTATGGCGTGTCATGATGAGTGAGGTAAGTCTTATGATGGTGTTAATGTCAAATATAAATGACTTGTTAATTGTATTGTTTTATTGAATAAATATGGTCTTATTATCTTTGGTAAGACTCAATTTGATAGGTATCTGGATTGATCTTCGCTTTGGAGAGAGATAATAATTTTTTTGGTATTTTTAAAAATCCTATTTGAATACGTATTTCCTCATTTTATTTAATATAGATATTTGTTAATTGGAGCTAAATTTTAAATATAAGTGCATTTCTCACCATAAAGTAATTTGTTAACATGAAATACTTTGATATCCCAAGGCCTGATAGTTGCAGTCTCTTCGATAAATCAGGTTCATCTTACACTAGAAAAAATATTGCTCTGCTTGTTGTATCACTTTAAAAAAAATTATTTTACCATGTAGTCTGCTAAATTTGCCTAGCAGAGCTTCATTTCCATATTTTAGTTACTCGATTAATTAATGCTTAACCAGCTACTAATAGCCAATTTCTCATTTGATTTCCTTAAATTACCTTTAGGAGCATACTTCTTTAATTTATTTTTAGGTGGCTTTATTTGAATATTCCCTTGAAACATTGACCTACCACTTTCTCAAGGAGATGCTGCCACGTTTTACTTTCTCTCAACTTACATCGTGGTACAATGATCCAAGTGGAGCAAGTTGGTAAGCAACACGATTTGAAATTATGTTTTTCGTATTGTTCTTCTGTCATTGCTCGTTATAACTCGCTAAGTATATTTTAATTTTACAGTTATTTTATTATTCGTATGTGCTCTATATTTATTTGTTTAGACTACATTTGAGTCATATTGTTAGATCCAAACTGAGATTTCATTGCTAATTATCTTTTCATTTGCATTATTTCTCCACATTTTGACTTCCCAGTCCATATGGCCACGAGATACTTATCCTTTAGTGATTTGGCAGCAGCTGAATAACTAACTAGCTTAAAGTAGGTTCGCATGCGCATGTCTCAGCAACTCTGTACCAGGCTTTGTGTGGACACCTTGACTGAATAACAAGCCGCGACCAACACTAGCCAATTCATTTTTTAATATTTTCCTTTATAAGTGAATTTATAGACTACAAGTAGATCTTATATGAAAGTTCTATTCACCCTATTTTGTTGCAAATTTTCCTACAATTATATATGTTGGCCCCACCATCATTGAATTCCATTTAGCTTAGCCTCCGAAAAGAGATTTTCATCCAGAGAGAACTGTAGTTTCGATGCGTTTAGAACGCGTTTAGAACCTGGGTACTGCAGCGTACAATTTAGCCACGATAACCACTACTCATTCTCACTAGTGCCCCTGGGTTACAGGCCAGACGAAAATTTTGTAATGGTGAATGCAATTTTGATTAATTGACATTCTTACTATGAAAATGGGATATTGTAAATGCTATGCCTTCCTTGATATTCACGCCTTCTCTGTGACCCAGGCGCACTTGCTGCAATGTGGCATGCCGCTTAACCTTTCGAGACTATGAGCTGCACGTCCTGGGCTCGAGTCTCACGGGAGGGCTTATGAGACCTAGGCGATGTCGAAACTGTTTTTCACCTTGGATGATAACCCCTTTTAAGAAGCTATGTGAAATTCAATGATACCCTGAGGTCTAATTATATATTTGTTGGAAAATTCGACCTTAAACAATATAGAAGTTGTTTGACCTTGTTTTCGCAACTTGGTCATAATGGTAGGAAGACTGATAGAAACGCAC